AATTATCCTTCCAGTTTTGGGGTACCCACCTTTCCTCCTGATTGGAATTAGGGGGTGGCTCTGCCTGAACATCTCATGCCCAGTCTTGAGATTTTTTGAAAATATAAGATTTATTTTTATTTTATTTTTTATTTATAAAATTTGTATGCTGTCCAATTACTAACATCTCTGGATAAGATGGTATCAAAAGTTTTAGATAAATATCTATTGTGCCTCCATTACAGTTTCTCACCTAACACGTACTTGCCTCCCATCCCTTTTGTAAAAAAGATCCCTTTTGTAACATTCTAACTACATCTGTTTTAGGTCTGGTTTTTCGTTTTTTAAGTAAAAGGCCAAGAGATCCCACAATTTCAAGGCCATCTTTTCAGAATAAATGGATTTTGGAAAATGTGGTGGTTTTCATGCAAAGAAAGCAGACTTATGGGCAGGGCTGTCTGAACGCATGGGCCTGATGGGCACTTTCCCGCGGGGCCCATACTAATCTGTGTATGTTAACCCTTGGAAAACTGGAACACTTCCAAAATTAACTGTAGTTGTAGTTGTCGTAGGGGCCCCAGTACCCGGCTTTGCACGGGGCCCATAATGCTTGAGTCAGTGCAGCACAGGGCCACAAGGCTGGTGGCCGGTTTGCAGGGGATGGGGCATGAGGCGAGACTGAGGGAACTGGGTCTCTTCAGCCTGGAGAAGAGGAGACTCCGAGGGGATCTGTTGGCGACTCTCAGGTACGTGAGGGGGTGTCACACGGAGGTGGGTGGGTTTTCCCCTGCAGAGGAGGGCAGGGCACGTTCCAATGCAGCCAAGCTCAGGGAACCAAGATGTAGGGTGGATGCCAGGAAGTACTTCCTGACGGTTAGGACCCTAGGTATGGAATGGGCTTCCATGGGAGGTGCTTGAGGCCCCGGTGATGACAAGGACAGGCTGGACATGCACATGGTGGGCATGTCGTGAGCGGAGCCGGCTGGTGCCGGAGGTCAGACTAGATGGCCTGGGAGGCCCCTTCTGACTCGCTCTGTTTCTATGTTTCTATGCTGTTAAGACGGCCCTGCTTACGGGGTAGGATAAGATAAGATTCGGATCCAGATCCAAATGTTGGCCATTCTCTGTAGTCTCTCCTATAGGGCCACCCAATGCCATTGCACGCTGGCTGGGGGTGCGAAGGATCGCAGCCTGCCAAAGCATTCAACGGATCGCAACGCTAGCCCTGGGAATGCAACCTGTTCTGTATAAGCACGCAGATGGGATGCGGGAGGGCGTCCCGTGGGGCGACCCTTGGCAGAATGGAAAAGGAAGAAGGGGGAACTTACGTGGGGTCACCACCAGCCTGGTGCCACCTCCAAAGATGAGCTTCCTGCTGCCATCTCTGTTCTCACAGTGTTTCCTCCCTTGACAAAAATTTGCCAGGGCAGGAAATGTGCGCCGGACTTGAGAACACGGTCCTGAACTGGTTTGCCTAGCACAGTGCCCAGAACGAAGAGCTGACACTTACGTGGAGTCACAACCAGCTGAGTGCCACTTCCAAAGGTGACTTTCTCAAAGGCATTAGACACACTGTGTTTTCTGCCTTGTCAAAATGTCTTTTCTTGTGCGTTGATACTCCTTCCTGCCTCCCTTCCTGAAGGTCTCTGGACCTGATGAATGAAATTTCCAGGGCTGTGCTGCCTGGAAATCCGCTTTTCCACCACAACACAAGCCCACACAACGCAGCTTCCATCAAACTCGCTGAAGGGCACGATGCCACAACTGAACAGAAAGATGGACCAAAAACTTACACAACAACGATGCTTTGCCTCCTTCCCCCATACTTGATTTGCATAGGTTTAAAAAAATAGATAAGGCATGGAGCACGGGCATAACGGTTTGCGTGTGGAAAGCGTGGAGAGCCCGTTCTGAGATTTTGCAAGGAGACACTCAAAGAGGTGAAACTTACTTGGGGTCACAACCAGCTGAGTGCCACTTCCAAAGGTCGGCTTTCCAACACCACTATTAGTCCCACAGTGTTTTCTGCTTTGACAAAAAACCTCCTCCCTCTTTCAGTGCTGCCTTTCTTTTGCATGTCCATCTATTTGCTTTTTGAAAGTTTCTAGTCCTCATGGCTGGAATTAAGTGGGCTGTCCTGAATGGAAAAGTCAGGGCTCCTTTACACTTCTGCACCCCAAAACAACTGTCCACCCACTACTGTATCCATCACCCATCATCCTCAAGCGTGTAGTGCACATTCCGATAGCAAATTGAATTCCAAATACACTTTCGTGGTGGAAGTAGCAAATTCTAAAAAAGTCCCTTTCCCCATTTGGGACGGGGGTGGAATATAATGACTGAATAATTGATACTTTTCTGCCCTTCACTGGTAGCCAAAAAGTAGAAGAAAGCAAAGGTAGGTGTGAGGGATGCAAGGTAAAAGAAAGGGCATTGCCATGAAATATGAAGTGCCTGGAAAGCAAAGGCGACTTACGCAGCTCAACCGTCAGGCTGGTCCCTGGTCCAAATAGGGAGCCATAAGAACCATACACACCCTGGTTTCCACCACAACAATAACCCACACAATGCCGCATCCACTGAGTTTAGTGAAAGGAACGGTGCCCAGAAAGTTGTGCTTCTCTGGAGCACTGACTCCAACATGCTTGATTCGTACGGATATGGGGCATCTGGCCCCATATGTGAGTGGGGACAGGTGCCAAGGTGGGGCGAATGGGCATTATCTGGAACCGTTGCCCTGGCACAGTGACAAGAAGGGAGACAGGAAACTTACTTGGAGTGGCAACCAGCTTGGTGCCTCTTCCAAAGATGATTTTCTCAAAGCTGTTTGTAGACCCACAATGCTTCCTGGCTTGACAAAAATGTCTCCCCCATGTCAGTGGCAGCCATCTTTCTGTTTCTCTTCCTAACGCTCTTTTTTTAAAGTCTCTAGCCCTGAGGAATGAAATTAGGTGGAATGTTCTGTTCGAGGGCACCCAGCTTTCTTCCTGTCTTCCTGTTTCAAAGTCTCCAGTCCAGCTGGACTGTTCTGACCAGAAACCTCAGTTTCCCTTTATATTCCACCACCTACCTGACCCCTATCTGACCACCCTATTGTCCCTTTTTAATTACGCTTGTGCCGTGGTTTTGTAGGGTTCACATCTAGCTTTCTTTGCTTCTTTTTAAGCAAACAGTTGGGAAAACAGCCTTCACACTTCACACTTCACAAAACAACCCCTTCACACAATCATTTCCATATACTCATACACCGCTGCAGCTGTTAACACATCCTGTACTGGCTGTTGGATCCTCAACATTTCTTTCTGAAGAGGCATAGGATTATGCCCTTAACGGTTGGACTGAAACCCATTTGGAGTTGACCAGTACCACCAATGGAATGCTTGGCTAATGCGATTTGGTCTCCCTGAATCCATAAAGTTTTTTCTTCTCTTCCTCCAGGGCCCTGGGGTTTCCCTAAATGAACCCTCACTGTCTTCTATCCCATAGGAAAATATTTTCAAATGGAAACTCTTCCCATGTTCAGTTCGGATGTGTTGATAGGAACCCCGGAGTGACTGTGGGATCATTTGCCGCAGTCCTTAGTTACTGGGGTGAATTAAGACTTGCACAAATGGCTTTTGCAGCAAATGATCTGGGTGGCTCAGAATTATTTCTTCCCTCCCTTCCATGGCCCCGAGGAATGGGAAACCCAGCAGAACAGAAAAGAAGGAAGGGGGCACTCACATGGGGTCACCACCAGCTTTGTGCCGCCTCCAAAGATGATCTTCCCAAAACTGCCAGAATACCCACAGTGTTTCTGGCCCTGACAAAAACTTTTCAAGGGTACAAGGAGATGGCGGGTGCATGCATAAAAGTAGAAGGCCAGAAAGTGTGAAATGCTCCGTATTTGTAATCCCTTGCAAATTTTCTGGTTCCTATAAGCTGCAAGCTAGAGACAGGATTTCCCCCAGGGATGGAAGTGCCACATGTTTTACTAGGAAATGGTATCCAGACAGCAACATCCGATTCTATGTCGGACTGTCCCCCATATCTAGTTCCCGAGTCGCTTCCAGGGTTTTAGGTGGGTCTACTCTAAGTAAGCACACTTGTAGGGAAGCACATCCTATAGGGGTCCATGGGACTTCCTTTTGCCTAAGCGTATATATTTGCCTGGTCCATTAGACTAGTGTTTTTCAAAAAGCATGGCAAATAAATTGCAAACTAGAAGCCCCAAGTTGCTCTTCTGCAGTGGACTGCCCTCAGTGTTTTTTCACAACAGATAAGACCGAAAGAGAGCTAGATACTAGAGTATAATTAACAGGGGAATCGAGCCACTAAACTGAATGAGATCCACTGGGATGCTTCCTTACCAACAGTTTGAATCGCTGACCGAGGCTTCTGCCAGCACAGCTAATACTGGAAAGGGAGTTAGGCATTGAAAGACCAAAGATCTGGAGGGTTACAAGTTGCCCACTCTACCTGGACAGAATTGATCTGCAGGAATTGTCATTTCGACCCCCTACCACCACGGAACAGGCTCCCTATCACTTTCAATTTTCTAGTCCTCATTCTGTCTGCCCAAGAAGTTCCCAGATTGGCAGCAAAAGCAGCAAATTCTGAATGGTGACCCTCCACACACATGATCCAAAATGTAGCAACTCATTAGCTGATTCCAATCTTCCCTTTCGTGGTAGCCAAAACCAGGAGAGAAAACATTGCTATAAAATAGGACGCATCTGGAAAGCAAAGGCGACTTACAAGGCAAAACCGTCAGTGTGGTCCCTGGTCCAAATCTGATGTCATAAGCAGTATCACCACAGTGGTTTTCACCACAACAGAAAGGCCCACAATGTTGCACCACTAAAGTTTGCCAGAAAGACTTGTCAACCAAAAAGTTAGCATTGGACTCTTTGTCTCTACCATGCTTAATTCATGGAGGGTTGAAAGAACGCAATATATGTGGGGCCACGGATGGGCAAGGAGACAGTAACCTGAACCTCTGCACCTCACCCAAGCGACCAAAGGCAAGAGTTGAAACTTACTTGGTGTCACCACCAGCCGAGTCCCACTTCCAAACACGATTTTATCGTAGCTATTGCTAGAGGCACAGTGTTTTCTGCCTTGACAAAAATCCCCTCCCAGTGCCTGTGGCTCCCATCTTTCTGCCTGCCTGCCCACCCTTGCTGGGGTCACAAGTTTCTAGTCCCCATGTTTTGAGGTTGGCCCTTTTGTTGTGCTGGAGCTAATGGCCTGCAGGATTCCCTTTAAAGGGCTCTAGTGGCCATCAAGGCCTTTCTCAAATTCTGGCTGGGGGTTTTGAGCCACTGGGCCCTGCAAGGGAAACCTTTTAATTATTTTGGTGAGTGGAGGTAAAGGTGAGAGACATGAAATGTATGCTCATGCTATGTGGGATCAGAGATACTTGGGGGTGCAGGAGAACGGCAGGGGGGCCGGTGCCCCAGAGCGCCCCACTGAGCAGCACGGAAGAGAAGGGGGGGGTGGGACTTACGTGGGGCCACCACCAGCCTGGTGCCACCCCCAAAGGTGAACTTCCAGAGACCACTAGTATACCCACAGTGTTTCCTCCATTAACATAAATGCCCCTGTTCTGGTGACATAAGGTTCAAATACAATCGGGATATGTTAAAGTTTATAAAATGTGGGGTTTTATAAGGAGTTAACAACATTTGACCAAGTGATCTTAAAATTAGATGAGAAATAAATTAAAAGACTGTATAATTTTCTTTTGGATATGAGAATGGAAGATAAACAAGTTAAAGAAACTATGATAACGTGGGCACAAAATTTTGGATATAATATTGAGCAACAGAAATGGCAAAAGCTGTGGGAAAGAAATATTAAAATAACATTAGCAGCCTTATATAAAGAAAATCTTTATAAAATGTTTATAGATGGTATCTGTCACCAAATAGATTAAGCTAAGATGTTTCCAAATATGTCAAATGGATGTTGGAAATGCAAACATAAACCAGATACTTTTTCTCATATGTGGTGGATGTGTGATAAGTCAAAAAAATACTGGGCTAAAATACATAAATGGCTTGCGGCAATATTACAAAAAACTCTAATATTTAAACCTGAAGTTTTATTATTAGGCATCATACCTGATGATGTTGATAATCAAGCAATGTATTTGATTCTACATGTAACTACTGCATGGATTGCATTTGCCCAACATTGGAGGAGTGAAGAAACATCTGCAGATGAACTGATTTTAAAAAAGATTTTGGACTGTGTCGAAATGGACAGATTGACCTTGTCTCTGAAGGAGAAGGAGAATACAGACTTCTATCAAATTTGGAACTCTTTTTATTATTGGCTAGAGAAACGGGACTATGCATAGACTTAAATATGTTTACGGATTGCTATAAAAAAAAGCATGAGGGGCTGACCCAGTAGGTATGATGTTTCTGATGATTGATGGTTCTTCGTGTCTTTTTGTTAGTTGGTAGAAAAATAATAAGGACTTTCCTAAATGCAGGCTGGAGGTTTTGAGCGACTAGGCCCTGAAAGGGAAAACCTTTTAATTATTCTGGTGAGTGGAGCAAAAGGAGAGAGACATGAAACGTAGGGGAGAATAGAAAGGACATGCTATGAAACATGCGGACTCTGCAGAGCAAGGTTGGCTTAATGGGGGCTAGAAACGTGAGGAGGATACTTGAGGAGTGTGTTCCATGGTGGTGCACAACCAAGGAGGTAGGTTGGCGTTAGAT